AGCAGGGCACTATTTTCACCATAAAAATCACAATCTGCGAGGATAGTGGCCAAAGCAGAGGAACCATTAAAGACTTATAATTAGCATCAATCAAGGTGACACTACTGTTGACATCTTTATTACTTTAAATACACTAATCAAATACGTCTGCATTGAGATGGAAAGATTGATAGGCAGCTAGACACAGAAAACATCCCTATGGAGCACAATTTAAAATTATCTGTTTGAAAGGTAACCAAAAAAAGCATTGGTATTAGTCAAGTGGGATCCAAACACACAGCTCTGAAATGGAAAAACTCAAATGGACCTACTGCGTTCTCATGTGGATGCTTTATCACCAAGCATTCCTCTAAATAAACACATATTTGTATGTCCCTTCTGTGCAATCCACTGGACTTGCTTAATTTAGAGGAAAAAATAACTCTGGGGAATGTAAGCTTCAGGCTACTCTTTCAGGTAAATAAATAGCCAAGCACTCCTGCCCAGCATTTGCTCACTTTCTAGCCTGCTCCTTACACATGCACGTGGAAAGGAAAGATAAAGGAGAGCTGAACCTGATGTTATTTACATAATTACAATAGGTGCTGTCAATATTATCTAACTGCATTGGTGCTCAATTTCATACCACACAGATTCTAAAATATACTGTTATTCCTGCTCATATAAATATTTCAGTCTTAACGAACAAGAAGCTGCTCAGCATCTTTGCCACCCCTTGAGTCCATATGGCATTACACCTTAATGACCATAATTTTTAAAAAGGAACTCTTCTGTAGTCTCTGGCTGTTTCAATGTTCACAAACTGAATCCTTGAGGTTAAGGGCATAGACCATAAAGAAGGGATGTGAAGTCGTTTTCAGATAACAGGCTGGCTTGGAATCAGTTCAGAATTATGGATGAAGATTTGGCAAGGCATCTCCCAGGGGACAACTTATTCTTTGCCAAGTGAGATTATAATGGCAAAGACTTTCATTACGAAGATGGCAAGCCCCAACAATCATGTCGGCTCCAAAGTTCAACTTGATTTATAGGTTCCTTAATTGGTGCATCCACCACCAGGTTTAAAATATATGTTACATTTTCTCTGAATTAGAATTAGACACCTGCTTCTCAAAAAGGCAATTAAAAAAAAAAACCTTTGTGTGTGTGTCCATCAAAAACCAGGCAGAGAGGAGTCAAAGGAAATTCCCCATGGCTTCTTTCCAAGCAGTGAAGAAAGGACGGAGCAAGGAGGATGGGTAACAGAGCTGAAACAATTGGAAGGAACACATTACTCAAAATACATTGCCCATAAGTCACTGAAGGAGTAGCAGTGAACTCAAACCCAGTTCTATTTTTAATTTCATGGTTAAAGGAAGAAGATTTTCCAATATAGCATGATAGCCTTACAGAGGCAAAGTAATAAAAAAATGGTGCAATTGGGCTATTGAAAATCCCATCAGTTTAAGCCAATATTTATCAAATCACTCCTTCTACAACATTATGCTACAATTTCTAAAAGGTTCCAATAACCTGACCGTCTCTAAAATGATGAGAGCAAACTCTTCTGGCTCTTAAAAGCATAGTAGCCCATTTTCAATTGAATAGTTTTTTACAGTATACAAAGCTATTCTTTACACACTAAATATGCATCAACCCTGTGAGGTAAATGCTTATTGCCACTGTCCAGGTGAGGTCACAGACAAAAAGAAGCTAAGGGTCCTTCCAATGGGCACCTGGATGGAAGGTTAGCTGACTCAATATTCTCTTCACTACACTGTGCTGATCCTGAATTGCCTTCAGCTGTTCCATAACCTTATGAATTAAGGAGAGAAATCACAATTATAGATGACGATTACCTATGGGAAAGACAAATTTTAAAGAGTACTTTAGCAAGAGAAAGCTGTTCACAGAGAATCAGTAAGATGCATAATAAACAAAAGAGAATCCTTCTAGGCTGAACATTGGTTTGCTTTGTTTGGAGATTGGTCATCTTTCTATCCTACTCCAAGATCTTGTTTTTCACTGTGAAGAGTCACTTGGTTCTCAGTGACGCACAAGGAATGGGGGAGGTTGTGTAATATCGCATGAGGCTGACCTTACCACTCATGGAAAAACTGCCAGCCAGACACAAAGTGTCGGCTAATAATGAGTCAGGGATGGGCTCGACAGTATCAAAGACCTTTATGTTGAATCCTTAACAAAGGAGCTTGGTGTAAACAAGACTTCAGGGCTGGGAAATGACACAAGAAGAGGACAGTCACTTCCTCATCAGAGGACACGGCTTTTGCCAAAATTTGCTGAAATGTGTGCACAATACTCCAAATAGACATGAATTGGAGAACTCATATCAATATGTGCTATGTTCTAGATTCAGATGTGGAGATATTTGAGGCCTGGCAAATTCTCTCTCCCTCCCAACTTAAATGGCTCAAAGCTATTTACACTTTCCAGTTAATACCATTTTTATATTTAAAAAAACGGAGAAAAAAGATAACATTGGAAGAGCTAAGCGGAAATGGGAGAACCAACAGAAAAAATAATTGCATGTAAAACACATAAAAGATAAAAAAGAAAACTCTCATCTAAAAATAATGGCAAGATTAGGCTCACTGTAAGCACATTATTACTACACGTCCCAGTGCATCCTCTTTTATAATGTTTCAACACCTCTCTTACGTCGTTGCCCTAGCTATAACTCAAGCTATATAACTCCATGTGAATTCAATGGAGGTATTTTTTTCAATTTTTAATACAGGAAGGGATATTTTTCATTATATTTATATGCTACACCATGGAGCCAATATCAGTAGGGAAAAAATGAGCTGTGGATATTAAGAACATTGAATTCATTAACAAATAATATGGAAAATTTTGATAAATCAAATGGGCTTCTCAGTAGAAATATTCTCCCAATCTAGCTAAAAATATTCCAACAAGTCATTTTAAATTGTATACCTGTTGTGTTGTCATTTTTCTAAAGTGATGGTAAGGTGATTTAATTTATTTAACTTGAGCATATTTTAATTTACTGTCCACTGTATCAAATAATGATCAACATAAAGTGGGTAGCAAAGAGGCTCACCATCATAGGCATACAAAAACATGGGGTTTGAAAGGAAACAAAAACACTACCTCGAAAAGATACATGCACCCTCATGTCTACAGCAACATTATTTACAATAGCCAAGAAAATGGAAACAACTTAAGTGTCCATTGATGGATGAATGGATAAAGAAGTTTTGGTATATATATACAGTGGAATACTATTCACCCATAAAAAAAACAAGGAAATCCTACTATTTGTGACAACCTGGATGGACCTTGAGGGCATCATGCTAAGTGAAATAAATTAGACAGGGAAAGACAGGTATTGGATGATCTCACTTATACGCGGAATCTAAAAGACCAAACCAAACCAAACCAAACCAAACTCATAGAAAAAGAGATCAGACTCATGATTACCAGAGGCAGAGTGTAGGGGGAGGGGGAAGTGGAGGAAGGTGATCAAAGAATACAAAGTTCCAGTTATAAGACAAATAAGTCCTTCATATGTAATGTACATCATGATGACTATAGCTAACACTGCTGTATTATATACAAGAAAGTTGTTAATGAATCCTGAGTTCTCATCACGAGGAAAAAAAATTTGTCCTTTTCTACATTTTATTTATTTAATTTTTTTTAGGAAAATGAGCCCTGGGCTAACATCTGTGCCCATCTTCCTCTATTTTATATGTGGGACACCTGCCACAGCATGGCTTGACAAGCAGTTTGTAGGTCCATGCCCGGGATCCGAAGCAGTGAATCCCAGCCCACCGAAGCAGAGCACGCAAACGTAATTGCTACGCCACAGGGCTGGCAACTTTCTTTTCATTTTATTGTATCTATATGAGAAGATGAGCGTTAGCTGAATCCATTGTGGTAATCATTTCACAATATATGTAAATCAAACCATCATGCTATATGCTTAACTTATACAGTGATGTATGTCAATAATTTCTCAATAAAAGTGGAAAAAACAAACAAAAAACATGGGTTTGCTCATCTCACCCTCTTTCATCAGTGGTGATCAGTAGAGATGGCCTGGAAAAATTCTGCTTGGTGTGACGACTCTAAAAATATGAATATAAAAAGAATTCCAAAAGAATTTAAGATGTGAATTCACAACACTCTAATGGCGAATTTGATCTGACTTCGAAAATAAGTTATATAAAAGGGCCAACATGCTCTCTCAATCCCCTAAAAGAAGCTGCTTAAATAGTAAGAGTAAGTTGTGTAACTGGTGGGATGTTTGGTCCATACATACTGTATGGTCCACTGAACTCTGGTGGAAACTAAAAATTGCTAAGCAAGGAATGAAAAACCTTCTTTGACATGTACCTCTCAGAAAAACATGAAAACTGGGTTTTCCATAAACCTGGCTGGTTACAAAATACATTAGCAGTGAAAATGGTCATTGAAGAAAGCTCTACAGATCTATTTCTACAATTATGAACAATAGCTCAACAAATTCAACTAGCTTGAATAGTGAGAATAAAAAGCTTAAAATGAAAGGTAACATACAGTATGCAAACATATACAAAAGTGGGAAATCCTTGAACATCAAATGACAGCTCTCTCCCAGTTCTAATAGCACCCATCTACCTGAGATCTGGGTTACAGATAGGTAATACACGCTCACTCTCCTGAAATGTACCTGCTGAAGCAGGGCAAAGACAGGAAGCGCTTCAGGGCTCTAGGTCAAGGTCAAGAATACAAGCCATGAGTTCACTAATGCTAAAGATGAATGAATAGCAAAGAGATGAGATGGTCTCTATTCCTTTGTACTGAAGCTCATAAGAGGCTTGCAATTGCCTTACAAAATACGTTTGCTCTCTATCCTTTGTATTCTGTTTGTTTCCATCCATTATACGGCTAAATCTACTACACCTCAAATAAGAGCAAATCATTTGTAATTTAATAGTGACACAAATCCTCTGGAACTCATACACCATTGACATTGACATAGAATACTGGCCTTGAATTTATAAAATATTGACTCATTTTTATTGTTCTCTGCATTTTTCCTAGGTATGAAATGATCAGAATGAGTTTTCCATAGGCTATTTTTTTTTGTTTTGCCCAAGTGTCCTCAAAAACCATTACCTAGACAGACTCTTCTACTCAAACTTTGACTAAACCAACCAAATTGAAAGAATCAGTTGAATGCTAGATAACCAGAGGATACCTCCTTTTTAAATACATCCTGGAAAAGCTTTGCAGCAATATTTCTCTAAATTAAAAAAAAAATACACATAAGCGGTCCTAACAACTAACCATACCATTGCAAACAGAGTACAGAGTTCCAGAAAGAAACAAAACGAGGTCCAAGCGAGTAGCATTTATGGTGATTCCAGAGCATAGAAAGAGGACTTGAGCTGTAAGCTGGTCTCTTTCTTCTTTCTCTCTCTCATCAGCTTTCTGCTCTTGGACAAATCTTCAATTTCCTCACCTGAAACATAAGCATAATAATATGGACATTACCTCAGTGTGTTATGGTAGGAAACAGATGAGAGGGTATATGTGAAAGCATTCTGCACATCACAAAATGTTACAAACACAAAAATTGTAACTGAGAACGCTATACATACGTAAGTTATAAACAAAGAGGAAGGCAGACTAGTGTGGTGGATTTGAAATTTACTCATTATAACACAGATGGGCAAAAACTAATTTTTTCAAAAATTGTTTATCCCATCACATAATTGACTTCATCTTGCTCAAAAGTCTTCATTCACACTTGGTGGTAATGAAGCAAAATAAAAATTTAAAGCTTGTTCATTTGGTATAACTGAGGTTCTTTAGAAAATAGTCAATTTGGGGAAAATGTTTAGTCTTTCTGGTTTTGCTCTCCCTTCCCCCTTCTCCTGACATCCTGGCATCTCCCCAAGAAGAAGTTTATGTACTATGTGGTGGCGGGGGCGGAATGTCTGCTTCAGAGATGGCCCTTCCTGGGTGGGCTGCTACATCCTGAGTAAGGCAGAGCTAATCCGGCCTGGTGTCTGGGCTCTGGTCCCTACCTCCACGATATCTGGTTCTGAAGTTTCCGGGGTGGTCCTCTCAATAGAGACATGGGACAATGATTGCTTCTGGCCCTCTCCCCTGATCAACCAGACTCTTCATCTCAGAGACTTGGCTGCATCCACTGCCAGGACCCCAGGTGGAGAGGGGCACCCTGAAGCCTCTGCCACAGCTGCCCCTTGATCTGTGATACTGGGACTCCTGTGAGGTGTGTTGATTCCCACTTAGAAGCTCAGTTCATTATCTCCGCCCCACCAGAACGTCTGGGCCAATTCTAAGACATCAGGTACCTGGAGGAGAGGTGAGTAAAATGGCCTTTTCTCAACAGACCACTTTTCAACTCTACTGCCCATGCCAAGGTGGTTTAGAGATTCCCAAGAGGCATTTCCCTGGGGTTCCAGAGGGGAAAGCTGACACAGCTTCCTTTGCTCTCATCTCCCTCCTCAACCTTCTTGTTTACTTTTTAAATCGCCTTGCTTTCCGCCCACATCCTCCATCTCTCATCAAGCATCATTCTGCAATACTGGGGGCAGGGTGGGGGGCTTCCCTTCCTATGTAGTTGGGTCTCACTTTTAAAAGCTCTAGTCTTAGATTCTCAGGCTTTCTTCTCAATAAATGGAAGCTTTAGCATTTTCAACAAATCTGGGCTTGTATAAGAACTTCTCTGACAACTGCACAATGACACATTTGTTCTAGAATCTAGACTGCATTTGCCCCACGCCTAAAGCAATAAAGGCCATTGATTCCATGAATGTGGCAGTTGCAGGGTAACAAGATTTACAGGGAACTTTTGAAAAGCCTCATTAAATATTTCAAAATTTTATCCTTACCACATAAGCTAGGCGGTTTAAGATTAGGGGAGATTTCAAGAGCTCCTTGAATAAAAGAAGAAAGATAACTTCGTGAAATAACAATCACATGGAGTAGATGTTATTAACCCACTTTATAGATGAAGAAATGAAGACTCAGGGAAAATAAATAATTTTTGCAGTGAGGCACAGCACGTGAGCAGTGAAGACAAAATTTAAACTTAAGTACTTGTATTATAATACCAGTGTTCTTTTTACTACTAATATAAAAGTTCCTTGACAATGTCAATCAATCCAAGAGGGAATATATGGACATGAATTCCTGCCACTTACCTAAGCAAAAAACCACATGACTTCAGGGAAGATTACAAAAGAGAGAAATCCTGATGAGTCATTAAACTTCTTCATTCACCATTTTCCTCATTCAACTAGTATCTACTGAACACTCCCAATATACCAAATATTGTGTTAGAGATTGGAAATCTTAAAGGTAATTGTTCCTGCTCTTAGTTAAATCTCAATATAGGGGGGAAGACAGACCAATGTAATTATAATACCCCTGCGCAAGTCCAGCGCTGTATGATTTTAATATCATGACTTTCAGGGTTTCCAAATCAATTTTTTCCATGCCTCAAATGTTTACTAGAATTTCACACTAATTCTACAGGTAGAAGTTTCATTACAAATTTTGGGATGCAAGGAATTACTTAGACAGTAGAAAATGCTTCTCGATAAATCTGTAAACCACAAAGGGAAAGAGAAATGTAGAATATACAGTGACTCGGAAGACCTGAGAGCCACGCATCTCCACTTCTTGCCTATTTATCACTGGCCATTTCATGTTTCAACAGTCTCAAGGCGCCACAAAGAGCTCCTCTCTGGAGCATCTGCAGTTGGCTATGCACACACAAGCAGCATTAAAAAATAAATTTGGTAAACTTCATTAAAACATTTTCCTCAAAGATGACATTTTCCAGCTATCTGAGAATCGTTACAGGAAGACTCCTTCTGGAGGTAGGTCATGACCTTGAGTTAGTGTTCAGGTGTCTGGTTATGTGACGGTTTTATGAGAATAATACAAGATTTCCTTTGATAGCTAAAAAGTGACTATGTTATTCAAATGCCCAAGGTGGTCAAGGGAAAAACGTAACAAATGTGTCAGAATTCTGTTCTTCCAAATCCTGAAACTCAAACACCTGCCCAGGAATATTAAGATCCTTGACTTAAAAATGAACTCAATAGGCCACTGCCATCACTTAAAACTATTAATTCCAATTAAAAAGAAAAACTACAATTATCCCCTAACTACTAAATAGTCTAAAGTTATTTTAGCAAGGGAAATAAAAACCCACACCCATTCTTCCTCTGTGCCAAGGCGGAGCATTTACATATACCACTATGGAATTATACATATGCTAATTATGCTAATATAAATACGAGAAAATATTCTCTGAAAATTGCAAGTCGAAGAACTATCAAAAACAGGCGAAGGCAAAAAACCCAGATCTGCTGGAAAATAATTTCTGCCATCTTGCTTATTCATGTGTAAACAACCAATATGCTCAACGCTTTGACATCTCTATTCATTTTGGGGTTGGAATCAGCTATAAATATATGACCTTTAATTGTGAGATTGATTTGTCAAAAATTCTGAAATGTGTTACATATGGGACTAACTTCATATGAATACAAATATTTTCATGGTGTTCCATTTTAAGTGATAAATTCTGCGGGGAATTGAGACCCCCTAAATAAAAAGAATGTGTTTGTTAATTCACTCATTTGTTTAATCATTTATACCTAGAACTATAATTTTACCATAAAGCTCATACTTTTAATTTTTTTTTTTTTTACAGCTGTGCTCCCAAAAATGCTTGACAAGAGCCATCTATAACACTCTGCAGCTATGAAAGGCAAAGAGAAGCCTCATTCTCCTATTTACATTCTACCGGTACAATCAGACCTCTCTAGGCAAAATCTAAGCAAAAAGAAAGACACCCAGTGGATTAAATGGCACAATTTCCCAGTCTTTCCTCCAGGTTTCTGTGCCCTCAAGCAATAAACTGACTTTTGCATCTGGCAAACATATGCAGAAAACTAGGCCAAATATGGCTGATAAACTTGGCCAAGTTCTTCCATGTGACCCACTGCGACAGCCAACCTAAAGTTCCCAATGTCAATTCAATTTCCAAATAAAAACTTTACTTTTTCATTAATATGTGTTAATATTTAAGATATAGATATAAATAAACCCATCTCATATGTTTAGAGTAAAAAATGCATTTTAAGAAACAATAAATGTACTGCATTTGTATTATTGGAAGGAGTGAATATTTAGAATAAGATGGATATTATGGAAATGGACCTGACTATATGATCTTACCGACACAGTCGAGGCTTTAGAAGCATAAGAGAAGAATGTTTCCAGCGTTTGTGCCAGGCGGAATGCCTTCTAGATTGACCAAGGTAAATGGCTATCATAACTAAATCTCTCAAGTCAGCTGAAACTTCATGACTGTAGTTGAAATTCCAGGATTTTTAGAGGTTCTACCAGTGGTCAAATGTAGAATAAAAAAATGTTTAAATAGCCATATGCTTTAAAATGTTGGTAACAGACTTACATAAATGCATCCTCCCTTTCAATAGATTTGACATTTTGAGGCACCTACTACACTAGGAATGGTGATAAAGACATGAAAGTTTACACAGTTCTTGCCTTCAAAGACATCACTGTAATAGTAGAAATCCTAAAACTTGTGCTTCCTGGAATTTCAGTTTGGTTCTTTGGGCTCTCTTTTTTCAAGCCACTTTCTATTATGTCAAGTAAGATGGAAGATGAGTTATGGTGTCTATTACATATTACCATATTAGAGTGACAGTCGTTTATTGCGCCATTACCAAAAAGCTGTATTCTTCCAGAGTGCGTATCAATACATACCAGCGAAGATGCAACAACTTTGTCCTGGCTAGCTCATTCAAAGAAACAAAATTACAAGGAAGACATATGTGAGATTAACATATACATCTCTAAGTATAGATGTTTTATCTGACATACGAATATACTGAAACTGTACAAATTTTATATCTTTTAGGATTGCATGTAAGGGTATTTGTACTTTCAGAAAACCCCCTTAATACATATTCCAGACACATCAACAAACCTCCTTACACCACTGTAACTCTATTTTTCTTTCTTATGACAAACTTTCCCATTCTGTCTTCTTCCCTTTGTCATGAACAAATTCAAATCACTTGTATCCCTAAAAACCACTCCTGTTCCCATGACACTCACTACCTATGCACCAATCCTTCTCTTCTTATCCAAAATTTGGGGCAAGTGGGATAGTTTTACTGATCCATCTTCTTCACTCCATATTATTTCTGAATCCAATAGATTGCGGTTTCAATCTTTACCATTCTAGTGAAACTACTTACTGCTAAATTTACAGACTATTTTCTAAATTGCTGAGTCCAATGGACACTTTTCGTCCCTCACCTGGTTTAACAGCTCTGTTAAATTTGGCCTTGTGGACCGCACCCCTTTCTTAAAACCATATGTTTCCTCAAGCACTTCCCTCTATTCTGGAACATCCTACTGTTCAGAATTGCCTTATTTCTCTCC